CCGACACGCTGCTACTTCCAGGCTCATCTGCAGTCACGCTGCTACTTCCGGACTCCTCTGCCGACACGCTGCTACTTCAGACTCCTCTTCGAGTCACACTGCTACTTCCAGACTCCTCTGCCGACACGCTGCTACTTCCAGGCTCATCTGCAGTCACGCTGCTACTTCCGGACTCCTCTGCCGACACGCTGCTACTTGCGGACTCCTCTGCCCCCACGCTGCTACTTCCGGACTCCTCTGCCGACACACTGCTACTTCCGGACTCTTCTGCCGACACGCTGCTACTTCCAGGGTCATCTGCAGTCACACTGCTACTTCCGGACTCCTCTACCGACACGCTGCTACTTCCAGGCTCATCTGCAGTCACACTGCTACTTCCGGACTCCTCTACCGACACGCTGCTACTTCCAGGCTCCTCTGCAGTCACACTGCTACTTCCGGACTCCTCTGCCGACACGCTGCTTCTCCAGGCTCATCTGCAGACACGCTGCTACTTCCGGACTCTTCTGCTGAATCGTTGCTACTGTCGCCTGATGTCTCTGCCGCCCGACTGTCACCTGATGTTTCCGCGGACCCACTGTCACCAGATGCCTCTGAGGACCCACTGACACCAGATGCCTCTGAGGACCCACTGACACCAGATGCCTCTGAGGACCCACTGACACCAGATGCCTCTGAGGACCCACTGTCACCAGATGCCTCTGAGGACCCACTGTCACCAGATGCCTCTGAGGACCCACTGACACCAGATGCCTCTGACGACCCACTGTTGCCGGATGCCTCTGCCGACCCACTGTCGCTTCCGGATGTCTCTGCCGATCCACTGCTACTTGCTGATACCAGTATTGAAATGTTATCGTACATGTCATGCGGATAACGATGAACATTGCCTGATATAAATTATCTAAATTTTACTTCATTTATGTATTTCTTTTCAAAATGAGGTTGTAATGTCACCAAGTTAACCTAGGGCTACCTCGAATACTGTAATCTCCATGGAATTTTACAATCACTGTGGCAATCGGTTTGACAAGTACATACGCTGAATACATCGGAATTCATTTGCACGTCAATTATGAAAACAGATATTTATCTTAGTTATTCAAAATAACTGTCCTGGAGACGCCCAAGGGGTCGCCCAAGGGCAAGATGGGAAGACCAGCTCTTCCCCACACTTTGGGAGCTGGGTGTCAGAGACGACTGGAGGGTCTGTGCCGGTGACAGATCAACCTGGCGGCCTGTGCATGGCTGTGGCTGCCATGCATCAGCACTTGATGCCTGCAGATGAACTGATTGATTGAAAATAACTGTAGATAAGTTCTACTTACCCTGAGGCTCGGCGGAATGGACCAAACACGCCAGCAGCAGCAGCGCCAGCCAGACGGCCGACCTGCCTGGAC